ATGCCATACGTCACGAGGCTTGTGCTCTAAATGAGCGGCTCGTAATTGAAATGAAAATGTGAGCAACAAGTTCTCAAAGCAAATAACCTTAAAATAAATTGCCTCACGTTTCCGTCACATACGTACAACAACAGCGAAGCATTCAAGTATTTTCCAACTCGTTTTACTTTGTTCAGTGCCATAAAAGTCGCAGCTCAGTCGCAGTTGCTCAACTGGCGGCACAAAAAATAGTTTCAAAATTCAAATTCAAATTCGTTGCCTGCATTTTTGTGTTTTTAGCCCATTTACCTACGAGTGGGTCTGTCTGCTCACAACAATATTTTTAAAGCAGCTGGCAGCGTCCAAAACTCGTGCGGCACGTGAGCAACGCATGCTAGCGAGGCAGCTATTGATAGATACATCGGTATATACTCGTACACATGTAGATAAATAGATATACTCTACATTTTTAGCTGTGCGCATGTGTTTGTCTATTTTAAATACATACATACATGCACGTAAGTGGTTCCAGTTTCGGGCTTTGCGGCCAGTTACAAAAACTCCGCGACCCCAAATAAAAACCAATTGTTGATTGAAGACAAAGGCGGCTCTTCATTTCCAGCCACTATGTGTTGCCATCGTGGATCGAGTAGCAGTTATCAAGTGTAATTTATTTGCCGTTTGTCGTTGATTGCCTTGATGAGGTCATACGTATTTACCAATTTTGGAGTATCAGTCGACTCAGATGTTGTAAGTGCGACTGCTCGTTAGTAATAGTGTGTATGTATGTGCTTTTCGTTTTCTCATCTCATCGCTTCATACATTTTTTGCTGCCATGTTCACACGCGTCTTTATCTTAATTTTATGCACTCGAAGCTACTCGCAACGACGAATATGTAGTAGCTGCCAGGGCCACCGCTATTATGCGCAGTTTGGTGCTCGGAATTCCAAAAACTGTATTCAATAATTATGTTTGTTTAACTAAGAAGTACGGCAACTATTGCTAATATTGAGACCAAATACTGATCCCCACAACAGAAGAGTTTAAAGTTTAGAAACACAACTGGATGCTTTACAAAATTTAGATAATCTAGTAATATTAGTATATAGTATATAGTATAGCTTTTTAAAATGTTGTAACAATTCCTGAGTCCTCCTTTATTAATATTTGAATATGTATGTTGTCATATTTAAATTCTATCATTCAGTCAAGGTCGCATTAGAATGAAGAAGACATTAAGAAAGGGGAAGAATGTCTTGAGAAATAACCCTCTCTCCATTCTTTTTGGACTATACAGCTACTTAATATGTTGACCTCTTCAAAATACCTACAATTTAACCACAATCTGTTATAGATTGTGATTCCAGATCGACAGACGGACGAGATGATCAAAAGAGAAGAGACGCTTGTGTGGCTCTTCTGTATATAATGTACAATTATACAACAACAATACTGCACACAGCACTGTGCCATTAACAAATAAAATACTATTTAGCTTGCTTACAGCTGTGCGCTCACAAAACGCCAGTGAGTAGACATTGCGAACCTTGACCATGTCAGCCCAAATAGGTGGGATATATGAGATACGTACGACAACAGCAAAAGCCGACAGCTAAAACAGTGGGAGCTGCGACGATGCTGTTGCTGCTGCTGTTGTTGTTGTTGTTGCTCGGGCATCTGTTTGATACGTTTGAGCAGCGCTTTGCTCGCTCTCGATTGTGCACAATGAATGCGATAGAAACGAACCCACACACACTCACACACACATACACATATAGTCGTTTGTATGTACTCGTACATATGTACAAACAGTGGAACGAGGTAACTGACAAATTTATTGACAAGCCACACGGAAAAGATACGCGCAGCTGAGTTGTTGGCATTGAGACTGTGTATCTCATAACGTCGCTGACGTCGCTGACGTAGACGCCTAGCCTGCAACTGAATTACAACAATGCAAGCGTTTCAGAGATTATTAGTTAAAAATGGAAAATGGCGGAAAAACAAAGCGGCCAGAGAATGAGAGACGTAGAGAAAATCGCAAATAGCCATCCGCCCGACTCGGTGCTGGGTTGAATCAAGAACGTACATATATCGGGAGTCGTGAATCGAAAGTCGAGAGTCGAGAGCCGAGAGATAGGGCGGGCAGGCAGTCAGTCAGCCAGCCAGCCAGTCAGCCGGCAAACTGACACGAATATGTGCTTATATGTATTGCTATCCACAAACACACACACACACACATGATATGAACTGCCTTTTATCTAACTATCTATGTTTTTCATACAAGTATATCTACAATCGGCGTTTGTACATATACTCATAGCTATAGCTTTGTCTGTCGCTATCGTCGAGTTATGACGCAATTAAGCAGAAAAGTTCAATTGTTGTTGCAGTCGTTGATTGCCTAGGCGCGGCAGCTTCACAACACAGCATCGCTTTGGGGACTCCGGAGAATCGGAGAATCGGAGAACCGATCAATCGGGTCTTTAACCATATGCTTCTCTGTCCAACTACACGCCCCAACTTGTTACGTGGGATTTCGGGTGAGAGAGTGTGTGTGTCTAACCCTGAAATTTTTCCGCTTTATCTATCGCATATTTTCACGAATTATTCGAAAGCACACCCACACTCTATTTTCGTTACGACATCGAGCGCAGCGTCGCGTCATTGACGGCCGCACCGTTCTACTTAAAAGTGCTTGCCGATGTTTCACTCTGAAATTATTTCGACCGTCCGAGTCTCTTGCCGGTGCCGCACAAGTGACGTAATCCGCCTGAGGATCAGATGGCGTCAGCGCTTTTGGCTTTGAGCGTAAACAGCTGGCTGTCCGACGGATCGGCCGAACAACTAGTTGAACATCAGGAAGCCGGCACAAACAACAAAACAAATACTTATAGTAATTGGCATGGATCGATAAACAATTATTTATTGGCGGAAAGTAGGTAGAAAAGCATTCCTTCCCGAAAATTCCTCAGAGTATAGTTTAAAATATTCAATTTGGAATTAGCATGCTTACATAATATATGATTTGTAGACACAATTAAGATTTACATGGAACCAACAAAATAATTTCAATGGCTTATTAGCAAATGCAGGGTATTAATAAGTGCCACAAGAATATTGAATGCTGTTAATAAAAAATAGTCTTAAATACAACTGACACATACTATATTGGGGAGTCTACTAAGCCTAAGCGATTGATTGTTAATCTGTTATATATCTACAGCACTAATTTGGAAAACAATTTTCAAATTCACGACAAGGCTAAAAGGAAGCTATTGGTGTCGACAATAAAGTGCAACACGGGAAGCTCTCAGCATTGTGGATGTAAAGATATATGCTAAAATATTAATGAACACCTCAGTGTCGATTGGTTAATATCTGCGGGCGGTCTAGCGATTACTTGGACACCCAAGCGAGTCTAAGCCCAGGGGAGTCCTTCAGCATCCGCACCCGCCATAAACCTTGCAACCTCAGCCCCCACGATATTTAATGCCTTCCCTGCCCAAATGAACGTGACCTCGCGAATCTCGCCAACGGCCGATTGCAGCAAAGGAAGCATATATACATAAATAGCTATATACATATGTATGAAACGCATATAAAGTGCTCCCCCCCCCCCCCCCCCCCCAATGGTTGCTAAGTAAGAGCAACCCAACATACATACTTAGCTAAAAACTATGTGTGTGGATATGTGTATTTGTCTACCCCCCTTTCCAAGCACTGATTCATGATTGCAAGCTGTGGCAACCTTGACACACTTTGCACCGAATGGTGACAGCGACGAGAGCGCAGCTTGGAAGCTGCAATCTCAACCACCCCCACCGCCACCCCTAGCCCTAGCCCACTCGAGCTCACTCACGACCCACGATATGAGGGGCTGGCGACTCACCTCATTTCCAACTGTAGTTATCTTGACAACCACTTCGTCCTTGCTGACATCGTGCTGCACCACATCGCCGGATTGCTCGCGGCCATTAAAGGTGAGATAAACGCGCTGGCCCGGCTGCAGCTGGATGCCCATTATGGAGCGAAAGCCGGGCCCGATGAGGTCGGATTCACGGAACTCCTTGATCATGGCGTTGCGACGCAGGGCCTGCGCCGGACTGATGTGGACGCTGGCGGCAACGGCCGCACGGCGGGTTTCCACGATGACAGACTCACCCGAAGCGCACCCGGACCCAAATTGTTGGGACTGGGATTGGTTGGGCTGCATGGTTTTAAAGTCGAACCGCACGATATAGCGTGTATCCGCGTTCACTTGCGTATCCCCCGGCGCAAGGAAAGTGACCGGTGGGGGTGGCGGGGGTGCCAATGCGGTCCCGTTACCGTTACCGTTCGCAGCCGCGCCGGCGCTGGTCACGGTGGCCGAGGGAGGGGTTTTGACGTCCTGTATAACGCCCGAATACCAGAGACCGTCCGGACCGGGGGCACACACTTTGGTGCCTATAATTGAGCGTTTAGCTAGACGACGGCCGGTGGACATTTTTTGTAACAGAAAGACCGAAGAACCGAAATAAACGAAAGCAAAAAGCCGATTTACAGGGGAAACGGAGCGAGGGGCCGATGATTTTGCCTGTGGGTTTCTGGCGTTTCTATGGCGGTTTTAGCTGCACCGATAATTGGGAAGCGGGGCCAAGGACAGGCCTGATTTTTATTTATACCCGGAAGTAAGGTAGTTTTCAAAACCCTAAAGCTTGAGTTTGCTTTGTTTCAACAGCGACCTTTTCGGCACTTTACGAGTTGACTCACACATTTTATTTTTGTACATAAATTTATTTATGTATTTTTATTCTTTGTATTGCACTTTCCTCTTGTGTAGGTTTTCTACTTTTCTTTTCACTTTTATCTATTTTCAATGAATTATTGATTTGATGCGTTTTTGTATTTATCTTTATATTATGCTCGAGAACTTTTTCCACGTCACCTGTGCACTGTTTTATCCAATTTGTATTTCAATTTACTGCACTATCGAAGTTTTTCTTGTGATTAGTTTTTGTTTGGTTTTATTTTTGTTGCGTGATTTTTTTTTTCACTTAAGATGACTTATGTGATACATGTCATGCAAATGTTTTTCGTCAACTTGTAAACGTCGATTTTATTGAGCTCGCAGAGCGAACGGCTGATTTTCTTGATGATGTTCTTGTGATAGAGCTCCAGGCAGAGTGTGACGCGCTGATTGATGCGCTGATTGAACTGAAGACGCTGCCGAAGCGCTAGGTCAGCGTGAAACGTGGGTGATTGTGGCGACGGTGGCGACTGTGTCAACGGTGGTGACAATGATGGGGGCGGAGGGCGGGCGGACTGTTTTTTCACATGACCGGCGCGCGCGATAACTTTGGATCTGTTTTGTTTGTGCCTAACCATAATCCAATTTTGCGCGCTTTAAACGGCAGCTTGAAACTGTGCACAACGCCGTGAAATTGACACAAAGGGGCAATGCTGAGCGCCAGCGAGAATCGGCGAGAGAGAATGCGATTGGAAATGGGAATGCAGTTGGGGACAAAGACGAAATGAAAACAATGGCAATGCAGTCGCCTACGGGAGTCACAGTGACATAAAATTCTTTTCAATGTTTATAGATAGATTTTTCAGTTTGCCTTTTCAATTGTTTATTGTGTGCTGATTGCCGTTTGTTTTATTGCTTCGTTTGCTTTCACGCTGCTTTCGCTGCTGTTACTGTTACTGCTGCTGCTGCTGATGTTACTTCTACTGCTGCTGCTGTCGTTGCCGGTCGTTTCACTTTTTGGCTTCGAGCAAAGGCGATGTTACTTTCGTATCGCGAGCTGCGTTTAGTTATTATTTTGCACCGATTTTGTACTGCATTTATGCTGCTGGCTTGGGCATGTGTACACAAACAAGCAAGCAAACAAACAAACGAACACAGTTACAGATTCACAGGCACACACACACACATACTCGGCTTATCAGGCCTTCTTTTCTTCTTTCCGTCTGTCTGAAGGGTCTTATACGTAATATTTTTGCTGATTTGCATTTATTGGCTAGCGCCTAAAACACAAGCTAGTATAACGAATTTCTGGTTGTCTGTTTTGCATTACTGTTGCTTTTAAACTGTTGTTATTTGTTATTTGTTGTTGGTTTGTTTGGCTGCTCGCAAGCGCTTATCGGACTGTACACGAGAGTTGGCTATCAAAGACTGGCTACTGCCAGCAGCGAGTTACAGTTACGCGCAGCGCTCCACGCACACACACAGTCAAACAGATACTCTTTCACACACAGATGCTCTCCCGCTCTCCCTCTCTCCATCAATGCTTTGGTTATGTGTGCGAGTGTTGCTGCTCTCTTGCGCTCACACGCGGCTCTCTTGCTCTATGCTTTGTGCATTGCTTGAACTCTACCTGCTTGGAAATCGAGACAGAGGACTGAGTATTTCCCGTGCCACCGTCAAAGTAAGCAGAGTGTGCTCTTGAAAGCGTGGAAAATGCGTTTTCCACAAATACACACAAAACCCTCAACTTAACAGCTTGCTGCCCGAAAAATCCTCTTTCTGCTGTTGCTCTTGCCTCTGCCTCACTGTATTGTGAATGTTGTTGGTGTTGCTGCACTTGGGTGAGAAAAGCATTTTCTTTTCTGCGTAGTTAAGGACAATGCCTTTAAATTCGCTTTTGTCGATTGTAGCGTTCAGAGTAGCCAGAAGGGCTGTTTCAATGTATATCATAATAATTCATATTTACAACAATTGCGACTTTTCTATAAAAGGACCAAGGAGGCATGTGGACACACATATGTACATATATATACCTTTTAAGTTTTCAAGCTGTCCGTAATCCTGCTTGCCCAAGTACATTTGTGAAGATACATATGATGTATGTACATACATATAGCCGAAGTATGGCTTATGTGCAACTTGACAAACAAGAGTCTGGTATTACATATACTTGTATTCTCAAAACAATTATGTACATACATACATATGTGCATACTGAAAATTAAAATTAGTGTCCAAGTGTGTAATCCAAACAGTTCTTGGTATCCTAGGGTATCCTAGATAGATCCTAGATCCTAGATAGGGTATCTCCAGATTCAATGAAGAAGGAGCTTCTAAATTAGGCTGATTTTGTTTGCACTACATAAGTACAAACATACATATTTATGACGATTTTCATATAAAAAATGTAGTATGTATGCCAAATTACTACATTGGTTTTATCTGAGTCCGTCAATTGAAATGCCGAGCCCATCGGAGTGTGATTGTGATTCTTAAGATAAAAGTGTCCTGAACATACAACTAGTTCCGATGACTTCACTGATAATCGTGAAGGATTGACAGTCATTTAAATAGCTACGAAACTTGTACAGCATAAATACAAAATATAATATCCATTTCCGGTTAACACGAATACTATTCATTTCCAAGCGGTCGGAACTATCTTTCCTAATCAAATAAATGTAAAAATCAAAAGCTAATTACAACTTTTTAAAAATCATTTTTGGAAGAAAATCAATTGCTAAATTGAATAAGGACAGGACAGAAAATTATGTTCATAGTAATACTATGTATGTATGTATGTACATATAATATTTATTTTTGCACATGTTCTTGATATGTACATATGTATGTATGTACATACATATATATGAATGTATTGTATGTATGTATGTTCCTAGCTTGGACCAAAAACAGGTTTATCTAGATTTGGGATCGGCATTTAACTCGTCTGTGATTCTAGGGTCTGGATTTCAATTTTTATTTGAAGTATCTTACAATTAGGCATATCCCTATGCATTTTATTAGATTGTCGCCTTTAATTAATGAGCATTAATTTGGCAAATGGTGAGCGGAAGATAACGGAATACTATGGGATCGAAGTCTGCACTACACTACAAAATATACATATGTACATATAAATATGTATATATGTATGTACATACATACATGTGTTTGTATCTATGTGCGTATTTTTGTTAGTCCCCAATTAACAGCAATAGCTTCAGAGTATTTGTGTTTTCAAACGCCGCATTTTCATCGTTTATTACGCGTTTATCAACATGGCCCGGGCGTGTATCTGTATCTGTATCTATGACTATGACGCCATACGCTTCCCCAACCCAAAAAAAACTACGCAGTAAAAAATTCAAGCACTTGTCAACATTTTCACAACACAACAGAGCGGGTATCTGTATCTGCGTGGCTGCGTGAGAATGTATGCTTGAGAATGTATGTGTATAAGAGTATGAGAGCGCTTGTATGAGTACATGTGTATGTGAAATTGTCTGTACCTGTGTGTGGCGGCAACTAGTGCCGTGCACGAATACAAATACAATGGTGCGAAGAAAACAGCTGTTGAGAGCACAAATAACATAACAGCTGTTGCAATGCCGGCCGGCGAATATGTACTACTGTTAAATAATAACAACGTCACAACGCTTAACAGTTAAGAGCGCCTGGGCTCTCTCTGTTATTTCAATGGTTGGAATGTATGTGAGGCGCTCTCTGGTGCTCCTACGCAACCCAGCTGTTGTGCTGTGAATGTTTATTCGATTTTTGTTTACATTTTTGAGCATCGCCATACATAAATTTATGCTGCCGCTTTGTGCTTTGTGGCTGCTTTTATTTCCGACTCGCTGGTGTGCGTTGTTGTATGTTGCATGTTATTGGTATTGGTATTGTTGTTGCCTTTGGAATGACCTCTGTAGGCTTGTCCGGGTGTCTCATTGTAGGGCGTATACATACTTCGAATAATATTAATTTCCATAGATTGGTTACTTTGTATGTTATTAAAAAAAAGGTTTCGTCTGGCATATTTGGCCTTTTATTTGTTGTCGAATCGAGAGAAGTTCAAAGTGAACGAGTTCCACATTTGTAAAATATTTATGTATGTACATACATACAACATCATACATGCATAGATACATGTAATACATACACGTACAATTTGTATTTACATGCTTACATATGTATATGTACATACATACATATTTGCTTATTAGATGCCACGCAGTTGGCTGAAAAATGAGCTATTTCTTGAATTCAATTAATCATGTTTTTTAGAGAAAATTCCAACGCGAAGAACTAAAACATGCAAAAGTATGTACATTCGCACATACATATGTACATGTATATCAACATATTAATGTATGTGGCAATTATGTGTGTACAAATTGTATTCAACAGAGCGTTGCCATTTTTTTCGATGTCATTACAACAAATACGCAGTTAAGAAAACCTCAACATCAGCTACTCAATTAAATGTAAATGCAATTCGTGAGTTCGAAAACGAAACGTGAAGAAAAAACCAAAACAATGCTATGTAAAGGCCTATATAAGCAACACCAAGGAGAGAGAGTGGGAGAGAGAGGAAAAGAGCAACAGAATCAAAATACACAACACAGATACAGAATTGAGGCACACAAACACAAGCGCATCTACATAACGAAACTGGAAAATAGGTCAACCAGTTGTGTGTGTGTGTGTTTTTGTGAGAGAGCGCGAGGCTTGCCATCTTGCTCTAAAGAGAATTTGATGACGACAGCGACGATTTAAATGGGTTGGCGTTTGTTACAACTGCCAGTGTTTTTTTTTTTTTTTTTTTTTTTTTTTTTTTTTTGTATTCTTTATTTTTAGAGTGGAAAAATAACAATATAGAATGGATAGAAATAACAATAGGAGTAATAATAGTAATAATAAAAGTAAAAGTAATAATAATAATGATATACGCAGGTCAAAGTCCAGGCGGTACGGCCGTTAGGCATTGCTTCGCCCGGCCGATCAACCCGCTTATATCGCGCTCCTGTCCCGCTCCTGTTTCCTGAGCTTGCCCATAACGGAGGCCGCAAAGTTTGCGCTCGCAGCCCACGACTCTTCGTTAGCGAGCATGTTGGCCACAAAGTTCGACGCCGTTGGGGGTGATCCGGTTGTCGCCTCCAGTCTCCTTCTGTCCGCCCCAAACCTTGGGCAATGGAAGGCTACGTGGTTAGCATCTTCCGGTATCCCTCTGCAGGCCGGGCATTCCGCACTGGAGTCGTGCCCAAATCTATGAAGATAACTTCTGAAGCAACCGTGGCCGCTCAGAAGTTGGGTCAGGTGGAAGTCGACCTTGCCATGTGTTCTGCCGATCCACGATGCTACGTTAGTTATTAGCGTGTGGGTCCACCTGCCTTTTGACGAGGCATTCCATCGCTCTTGCCACTTGCTTACCGTCGTACGTCTAGCCGCCGCCCGCGCGTCCCTTCGAGGCCGCCCGGCAGCAAAACTGTGAAGGTAGTTCGCCTCCAGGACGAGGAGGTCGATAGGTGCCATCCCCGAGATCACCAGTACGGCATCGTCAGAAACCGTCCTGAATCCACTACAGACACGGAGAGCGCCAAGACGGTATGTAGCAGCGAGGTCGCGGATGTAGCTCCTCTTGTTCACCGCGGCAGCCCATATCGGTGCCGCGTACAGCATTATTGATTTGGTTACGCTCATAAGCAATAACCTCCGACCTTGCTTTGGGCCCCTAGTGTTGGCCATAATTCGGGCTAGCGCCCGTGTGGCCTCTGCAGCTTTATTATTCGTCTGCTCCAGATGCTCACGAAAGCACAATCTCGTATCCAATCTAACCCCAAGGTAGTTAATTGAACGTTTGGACCGCACGAGAGTACCGTCAATTGATATGTGCGCTTGCTCTACCGCCTTGCGGCTGCTGATTAGCACTGCCTCTGTTTTGCCCGCCGCTAGTTCCAGGCCCACGGTGTTCAGCCAGTCAATGATCGACCGGATGCAGCGGTTGCACGCGTCTTCCACGGTTTTGATATCCTTCGCAACGCCTACAATTGCGACGTCATCTGCGTACCCCACTAGCTCAGTACCGGGTGGGAGTTGGAGGCGGAGAATGCCGTCGTACATGACGTTCCAGAGCAGCGGCCCTAGGACCGACCCTTGGGGGACGCCAGCAACAACATTGAGGGATTTGGTGCCAGACGATGTGTGAAACCTAAGTATCCGATCGCTAAGGTAGCTTCTAATGGAGCGCACCAGGCACGTGGGTACGCCTTGATCCACCAGTGCGTTGAGAATGCATCCCCAGTCTGCCGAGTTGAATGCATTTTTGACGTCGAGGGTCACCACCAGGCAG